CTCACTTCCCCCCCGGTGATGGGCCTGTTTTCCACCACCACCACTATAAGTTGGAGGGGGGAAGGAAATGGAGGACGAGGAGAAGGAGGTGGAGGAGGAGGAGGAGGACCCCCTCCCCTTCCAACAGATGGTGGCGGTGGTGGTGGAAAACAGGCCGATCACCCGGGGCTCGCCACCGACTGGTGGGTGGCGCAGGGCAGCCAGACGGCCAGGCCCACCGCCGTCGGCCAGCGCGGCGCCGCCGTGCGCCCCGATGGAGAGCAGCATGGCCTGGGGCCGCCGCGCTCTTGGAGGCGCGCGCGCGTCCCGCAGGGGGGAACGACGACGAAGGACGACATCACGACGACGACGACGACGAAGGACGACGAAGGACGACGACGACGATGACGACGACGAGGACGACGGACGAGGACGAGGACGAGGACGAGGACGAGGACGAGGACGAGGACGACGACGACGACGAGGACGGCGACGACGACGACGACGACGACGACGACCACGACGAGGACGACGACGACGACGACGACAACCACGACGACCACGACGACGACCACGACGACGACCACGACGACGACCACGTCGACGTCGACGTCGACGACGACGACGACGACGACGAGGAGGGGCAACGATAGGGGGGGCAAGGCACGGGGGGGATGCATCGACCTGGAATCGGCGATGCATTGCCGATACATCGGCGATAGGCCCCCGATAGTGAATCCGCACCTTCCTGGGCAGGTTGGGCCTACGAAGCCCCTATCGGCGATCAATGGGCGATCGGGGGTCGATGCATCCCCCCCTACAGTGCGGGCGCGGTCGCAAGAAACCCTTGCAAGAAGCCCACCCCTGAAAACCCGCGCGCGAGGTGCACCTGAGGGAAAAACCCGAGCACCCTGAACGCACCAGCTTCTCTGAAGGCCGCGGGAAGTCACCAAGCAGCGCGCGGAGCGAAGAAACCCAGGGTGCCCTGACGAAAAGCAGATGGTTTCTTGATGCTCGCCCCCCCCCTCTCCCCCCCTATGCTTAGGTCAGGCGTGTCCCCTTACAGGGGGATTTTCTATGAAAAAGAGGAAGTACCAAAGAAGTATTCAAACATAGTCAAAACTCAATGAAAAATCGTCCCCAGACTATTTCTACAAGTTTTGAATATTCCTCCTGTAGAGGGACAGGCCCGACTTAACCCTATGCCTATCCATCGCTGCCCCTGGGGACTGGCGGCGAGCCCAGAGGGGAAAGGCCGGGGGGGGCGAGGCTTTTCAGAAGGCGGGGCCTCCTGAAAAGCCTCGCTGGGCCTGAGCTCCGGAGACACGGGCGGGGCCTCGCTGTAATATCCATGCAACCCAAGGTCTTTCATCTCAGTTGAGTGGCTATGAGGGCCGAACTTGTCAAGGAGCCTGGCTGGCGATATCTTGATGTTGTCCATTTGGTCCGTCAGCCTGTGGAACAGGGCCGGGTCGGTTCGCAGTCGCCTCCGCAGGTCAGGCAACTTTCGGAGCGCGCCAGGGGCGGCGCCGGAGGCGCCGCTGGGGCTATGTTTGTACTGTTGTTCCTCCTCCGAGCGGAGCTCCACCCGCCTTCTGAGAAGGCCTGCGCCCTCTCACTTCCCCCCGGGCGCGCCGCCGACAGTGATGGGCCAGTTTTCCACCAGCACTACCATCTGTAGGACGGGGGAGGAGGGAGGATGGGGGGGGTTCTCCTCTTCCACCCCTCCTCTTCCTTCTCCTCCTCCCTCGCCAACCTGTGGTAGTGGTGGTGGAGAATCGGCCCATCAGAGAGGAGAGGAAGGGGGATCGCACAGCAGCGAAGGGCGCATGCCAGCGTCGGCCCGACGGCGCAGGCGGGCAGGGGAGCCGCCCGCGGCCTGGAGCCACGCGGACGTCTGCAGAGATGGAGATCAGCCCGCCCCCGCGGGCGCGCAGACGTCCACATCCACCACTCCTTGAGATCCCAGGCCGCGACCCCGCGGCAGTGGATGTGGAGGCCTTCTGGCGGTGGAGAACCCCCCCCTGAGCTCACCAGCGTGGTACCTTTTCCGGGCTCACCGAGTTCTCGAGGGGCGCCGTCTGCAACTGGGCCCACCGCGCACGGGACTGCAGAACGCATTCCCCCGGCACCTTGCGAGAGATTCTGACCTCGGACCTCTTCGTGCGTGCTCCTTTTGACTACCTCCTCTCCTCAGTCGCTCGCCTCGATCCGAGACGCAATCCAACCAGACCCGTGGGCGCACGTGGTCGAAAGAACCTCTGCCAGCCTTTTCTCGTTTGGGCATAAGGGTAGCAGTTCCATTCCAGTCATCGTGCTGCCAGAAGAGGAACGCCACATAAGGAACGATGGGGTCGCTGCGACCACGGCGAGCCCTGGCCGCGAAAATGTTCCCCGGCCCGGATCTGAGGATCGACCCAACAAATCACAGCCCCTCCTCAACCCCAAGATGCTCCTTCTCTGAACGTCGTGGCTGCACCCCCCCCCCGCCCTTGGTTCTTTGATTTTCGGCGATAATGGGCATTATAGATGGGGGGGAGGGGCCAGGGAGGGGGTATAATGTAACGCCTCCCCCCCGCCGTGCGCACGACGGCAGTGCCCGGAACGCGCTGGGGGGGAGGGGCGTTACGGTATAGGGGGTGGGAGAGGGGGCCAGGGGCTATCATGCCCATTATGCCCCAAGGTATAAAGAAACACGTTCCAGGGGTCCGCGAGGGGGTGGGCCGTCCGAGGCTGCCCCAAGTTCCCATCAAGACGGCCTTGGATACGCCGAGCATGGCCACCAAGATGGCATCATATAGCGCAGCATGGCTGTACTTTGGCCTCGAGCATGCCTCCACTACACCCCAAGACAGCTACTGGTGGCCACGGAGCCTTGAAGGGGTGCCCCCTGCCAAGCCAATATCTGTCATAGTCATGGGGTTGCTCGATGTGTGTGTGTGTGTGTGTTTGCGTGTGTGTGTGTGGGTGTGTGGGTGTGTGGTGTGTGTGTGTTGTGTGTTGTGTGTTGTGTGTTGTGTGTTGTGTGTTGTGTGTTGTGTGTTGTGTTGTGTTGTGTTGTGTTGTGTTGTGTTGTGTTGTGTTGTGTTGTGTTGTGTTGTGTTGTGTTGTGTTGTGCTGTGTTGTGTTGTGTTGTGTTGTGTTGTGTTGTGTTGTGTTGTGTTGTGTTGTGTTGTGTGTATATGTGTGCGTGCGTGCGTGCGTGCGTGCGTGCGTGCGTGCGTGCGTGTGTGCGTGTGTGCGTGCGTGCGTGCGTGCGTGCCTCCTCTCCTTGTCGCTGTCGAGGCCTCAAGACGGCTCCAGGATCGGCCCAAGGTAGCCACAAGGGGAGGCCCTGAAAGGAGGCCCACGCGGCCCCGAGGACAACGGGCAGCGACCCAAGAGCGCCCCGAGAGGGCTGCAGGGCCCCGCCAGCGAGCGAGCGAGCGAGACGCCTTGCCTGTTTTCTCCCAAACAGGCTACCTCGATTGCCGTGCACCTGAGTGGTCTTGAAACGTCCACCCACGTAGCGGAGCAGTCCCGCGAACGCTTGTCGCTCCGCCGTGCCCTCTGGGGGCCTCTTCGTCAGCACCGGGCTTGCGAGCGAGACGCCTTGCCGTGCGGGGCGCGCGGGCCCGCTCGGGGCGGGGCGCGCGGGGCCGTGGCCCCTGGGCGGGGCACCCGTTGAGGCCAGCTTCTGGGCCACGCGGGGGGGGGGGGGCTGTTAGAAGGCCAGCCAGGACCGCCTGGAGGTGCGGCCTCTGCGCAACCAGAAGCCTTCGAGAGCGGGAGCGGGGCCCGTAGCTAACCCTCCTCCTTCTCCTTCTCCTTCTCCTTCTCCATCCATCCATCCATCCATCTAACTATCCATCCATCCATCCATCCATCCATCCATCCATCCATCCATCCATCCATCCATCCATCCATCCCTCCTCCTCCTCCTCCTCCTCCTCCTCCGGGTTCCCGGTTCCTGTTGGCGATAGTGTTCGTCCAACGCTCCTCCTCCTCCTCCTCCTCCTCCTCCTCCTCCTCCTCCTCCTCCTCCTCCTCCTCCTGGTTCCCGGTTCCTGTTGGCGATAGTGTTCGTCGAACGCTCCGCCTCCTCCTCCTCCTGACCGGGTGGAGCGCGCCCTGATCCACGTCTGCGCTTCCTCGAAGGAGGAGGCGGCGGCCGGGCGCCGGCACACGGCGGCCACGGGAGGGGCAGGGGTGAGGGGCAGCGCCGGGAATGGGCCCAGCGCTCAGGAGGGCAAGATGTGGGCGCGAGGGTACGCGCCGTTCTGATCGTGCTCGCTCCTAGCTGTTCCTGGCCCCCCTAGTGGCCAGGAAGGGGCCCAGGACAGCACAACTAGAAATGAAAGGGTCTTGGCCCCCAAAAAATCAAACAACTTCCGAAGAATGAGAAATGAACAGTGGGTACACCTTGGGAAGGTTGCCCATCCTTCCTGTGCGGGTTGACCGTACATGGCGGATTCTGGAAACCCTGAATCCAAAAACGTTGTCATCCCTTGGGGGCGCACCTTTTACTTCCGCCGCCTTCCGCCGGCTTCCACCGGCGGAGGCGGCCTCACTCTACTTCCGCCGCCTTCCGCCGCCTTTCCGACGCTGAAGAGATGGCAACTTCTTCGATCCTCGAAGGCAAGACCCATTTTGGAACGCTCCACATGGCCGGCAGGTCGGCGAGCCCAGGTCGCGAATCCGCACGTTCCTGGGATCGGGGTGGGACATCGGGCCACCATCGGCGATGAATGAGCGGCTCGGAGAGCTCGAGCTAAACCGTGTTTTTGGTTTTCGTTTTGGCTTCGCTGTCCTTCGTTCTGTCTACGTTCTGCCTCCGCTGCGAGGCGAAATCAAGACGAAGCAGTATTGAACGAGTATCGCCTCCCAGTGCACGACACGTGAAAACCTTCTAGTTTCGTTACTTTCTTCGTGCTTTCGTGCTCGAAATTCTTTCTAGCGGTTCAGGCTGAAGTAGGTTGAAACATCATAGCGTTAGCGCCAAAGTTGAGGGCGCCCAGAGACACACAAGTAAATAGACACATGTCCCAGGATCCTCCTATAATCTTCAACATGTTTTGCATGTTCGTCTTCTCCTCCGCTTCCCGTATGTTTCTTTTTTCCCCTGGGGAGCGACGACGATTTGAGACTGTGCGTTTTCTGTTCCCTCCTGAAGCGTGTACTTGTCCACCGAGGCCCTGCCATACGACGCAGGCGGCGCAGAGCGGGCCGACACACGCTGCACGCTGTCCACGGGGCCGAACGGGAGCACACGCTGAGGCTACGGTATGCTCGCGCGGCGTTGGCGCGCGCAAAAGGTTTTTGACACCACGTCGATCGTTCAACCTTGAATCGATCGCGGCCCCGATCGTTCGAGGTTGAATTCCGGCGGGGTCTTGTGGCCCTACCGTGACCCTCAGTGCTTCCACGTCTTCCTATCATGCGGAGTTCAACCTTGAACGCCTTCGCCGGCATTGCCGGCGCGCCATCCGGCAAAAACACACACCCGCCAAGAATGCACAAGGACACCCCACAAACACGAAGGATACCCTCCCCGAACCGGCCTCGATCTTATATCTCCGTCCGACTGTAGACCCTAATTACAGAGATACACGTCGTTCATTTCTAATCGTGCTCATTTCTAATTGTTCCTGGCCCCCTAGTGGCCAGGAAGAGGCCGAGGATAGAACAGTTAGATATGAGAGGATCTAATCCCCCCAAAAATCAAAGAACTTTCGAATAATCAAGAAATGAGCCATGTGTACCTGTCTTGCCAATCGCATGCTATCCATGCAAGAGCTGGGCCACTGCTGCTGCGGCTGGGAAGCGGCGGAGCAGAGTGCCGTGGGGGGCCACTGTGGGGACCGCCGGGCACCCGAGGCCGCCAAGCCCACGAGTGCAGAATGCGGGCGGGCCACGGGGGCATGACGGGGCCGACAAGGCCACGAGGACGACCGAACCTCAGGGGGCGTCCCTCCCTCTGGCCGGCCGCGCGCCTGGCGCATCATCTCCTCCTCGGCCCTCCTGGCGGTAGCCGCCGCCGCCGCCGCCGCCGCCGCGCACCAAGGCCCCCGCGCCCTGGAACAAAACCGAGGAGCAGGGAGAGGAGGCCGAGGGAGGAGGAGGGAGAGACGTGCGAAGGGCGAGGGACGAGAGAGGAGTGGGGAGGGGGAGGAGAGAGGAAGAAGCGGGAGCCTTGCACGGGACGTTCCCAATCAGGCTGCGTCGGGGCGGCAAGAGGACGACATTCCGGGAGTGGCTTCCAGATGGAGGGTCTAAGCTGGCGTGAGCTCGGCTCCCCGGCCCTGCCTCACGGGCCCCACGGGCGTCAGGAGGAAGCAGGGAGGAGGGAGGAACAACGAAGGAGAAGGAGGAGGAGGAGGCGGGGGAGGAGGCAGAGGAGGGATGAGAAGGAGGGGGAGGAGGAGGAGGAGGAGGAGGAGGAGAAGGAGGAGGAGGAGGAGGAGGAGGAGGAGGAGGAGGAGGAGGGGGAGGAGAGGATCGCAACAAGCTCTGGCTTCATGTTCGCCCAACGCAAGAAAAAACGCGGAAGGGGACGATACAAGGAAGGAAGGAGGCAGGAAGGAAGAGGAAGGATGAGGAAGACGGCTGAGGGGGATGAGAGGAGGAAGAGGAATCAGACGGACAGGGGCAAGGAGTCTGCATGCCAGCTCCGGTCGCCGGAGCGGTCCCTGAACGGACAGACGTGCGTCCAACAAGTGGGAGAAGAGCACCCGGTGAAACGCGGACAGGGAGGACACCTCGAACAGGAAGGAGTCCCTCCGTCTCAGATGAGACTGCCCGACAAATCGCTTGGCGTCGGTCTGGATCGACAACGTCCGGTTCAACTGCCGCTGGATCCGCTGGTTCCGTGTCGAAGAGGGTGCGGACGGCGAGCTGAGCCCTACCAGCGCTTTGGGTGGCATCCTTACTTCGGGTGTGGAATTTCGTGCAACGCTCATTGTATGTGTCTTTTTGTGTTTGTATATTTTCTGTTTAGCTCATCTACCGTTTTTAACATTCGTACGTTTCCACTTGTGATTCGTCCACGCCACTGGCCGTGCGAAATGAACTGCGAAGCGTCTGACTCCATGCAACTCTAAGCCTGTCCCTGGACGCAGTATCCAATGTCCAGAGCAGTCCGACCAGGCTCACCACGCGTTTGAACAGACGCCAGCACTTCCTCAACGGGTACAGTACGACCGCGTTCACAGAATGTCCCTGCATTTGACGATCGCCCTCCATGCAGACCACGTCGGTATGTGTGATGTTCCGCTGGATACCCAACCGAAGCACGAGGAGAGGGAATCGCCCCACCCAGGGGGCGCCATCAGGATTCGAGGGCCGCGCCAGGCTGCCAGGAACCCGACGCAACCTCGAAACTCATATTGCATCTTTGGGAGACCTCGTCTTTCCCGTCGCGGCCCTATCCGCGTCAAATCCGTGTTGACTCCATGTCGGACTCGTCGGATCCGTGTCGAATCCGTGTCGAATCCACGTCGAGTCCACGCCAGATCTGCGTCGAGTCCGCGTCGAGCCCGCGCCGGGCACAAGGAAAAACACCAAATTTGGGGACAGGCGAGATCCCCCGAAAATGCAACGTAACGAATCCACATGGAGCTATCTGGAAAGCCTGCACCCAAAAAGTCTGCATCCTGGAGAACCGCATCTTGCTTCCGCCTGCCTCCGCCGGCACAACCGCCCCTGGCTCACTTCCGCCGACTTCTGCCGGCCCTCCGCCACCAACCCACCGAGGAGGATGTGTCACCGCACCGTTTGCTCTCGACGCGCCCGAGAGCCGACGACGCCGACACCACGGCAAACCCCCGGCGAGGCCTGCGCCCCACGCCCCAAGTCGAGTAGGGGGGGGGGGGGCCAGAAGTGCCGAAGGTTGTCAGAAGTGCCCCTGGCCCAGTGCGCCCACACTGGACCCCTCGAAGGCGAGGCCTCTGCTGGAGCGCGCCGCACCCAGACATCCGATGCCCCGAGGTCCACGAGCGCGGCACGCCTCGAGCACTCGACCCCTCGAAGGCGAGGCCCTCTCTGGAGCGCGCCACGCCCAGACAGCCGACGCCCCGAGTGTTACAGCATGCGAGGCCCCCCTAAAAAAGTGCAGACCCTTGCGCCAGGGGGGGGGGCCACCTTTGCGTGCGGAGCCGCTCTTTGACCTGGGTCGCACAGCCTCGCGCACCGAGCCCAGGCGATGCGCGGCGCACGACTCTCTTCGCGCCGCCGGGCGCCCTCGCACCGCCCCCCTTGCAGAAGCGCAACCGCTCTGGCCCAGACCGGGACGCGCGGAGCGCGACGATCTTCGAGCCCCCGCGGGCCACCGGGCTGACGGCCCTGGGGCCCGGCGAGGGCCTCCAGGGGGCCGACAACGGCGAACACCTTCCGCCCTGAGCCTTCCAGAGCGCTGGAGGCCTTGCCTTCGGTCGGACCACAGCTCGGGCCTCCGGCAGCCGCCTGGGACGATTCGGACACCCCACCCTCTCGACGAGGCATGCCCGAAGCAAGACCGCCCCCTAGCCAGCCTCGAACGTATCCCTGTCCCTAAGATGGGCGAGCAAAAAGCGAGGACAATCTTACGGATGCGCCCTCAGGAACTGAGGGGATCCTTAAGATCGGCATCGAGGTGAGGTCATGCCAAACACAGGGATAGGGATATGTTTCAAACGAACGCGGCGAGTCCACGAAAGCGGCGAAGACCTCCTCCGACGAGGCCGAAGACGGCGCAAGACTTCCGCGCCGAGCTTCTTCAGAGCGCCGGGGGCCTGGGCACGGCGCCGCCCCCGCGAGGCGGCCCCTCTCCAGCCCGGCGAGGGTCCCGCAGAGGCCAAACCTGACAACGCCACGAGCCCCGACCGCAGAACTCTGTGCCTTCCCGCGCGGTGCGACTCGACTGGAGGGCCGAAGTGGGCCGCTCGCGGCTGCGTGAACGGCCGCCCTGGAAGCTCGTGCAGGCGCTGTCGTCCCCCGGGGGCCGTTGTCTGCGCGGCTGTGCTTCCGGACCCCGGCGACAAACAAACAAACAAAAATCAGAGAGGAGGAGGAGGAGGAGGAGGAGGAGGAGGAGGAGGAGGAGGAGGAGGAGGAGGAGGAGGAGGAGGAGGAGGAGGAGGAGGAGGGGAGGAGGAGGAGGAGGAGGAGGAGGAGGAGGAGGAGGAGGAGAAGGAGGAGCAGGAGGAGGAGGACGAGGAGGAGGAGGAGGAGGAGGAGGAGGCCTGGAGGCCCCCCCCCCAAACAAAGATCAGAGACGCTTCCGCGCAGAGCTTCTCGGAGCCAGGGCACTGGCTGCCAAGGCCGCACCTCGGGCCGTGCGGCCCTGTGTTCTGGACCCCACCGGGGGTCCTCGTGCTTCGGGCTCCACACCAGGACCCTCTGGACGTCTGGGCGCCAAAGACGCCTGCCACAGCCGACGGTGATGCGGCAAACCGAGAGCATCGGAGCGACGAGTACGCACCTGCCAGAGACTTGCCACAAAACGTGGCCCCAGCGCCGGTCCGAGAAATCCCCGCGGACCTCCGAGGTGTTATGCTTGTGTCTTTGTCTGGTTCGCATGGCGGCGCCGCACCCCTTTCGGCACACCCCTCACACGCTTCGTGGCCCCATAGGGAGCTCCACCGAAGGCCCCAGTGGCTGCGTTCGCATGGCGGCGCCGCACCCATTTCGGCACACCCCTCACACGTTTCGTGGCCCCATAGGGAGCTCCACCGAAGGCCCCAGTGGCTGCGTTCGCATGGCGGCGCCGCACCGAAGAAGATGTTCACTATTGCGGTACTCACAGCTGCATATGGTTGGGTCCTTCGCCAGGCTAATTTTTCAAACCGGATCGATCTGTGACGGCCCCGTAGCCCGGACAAAAGAAAAACGAAAACGCGCAGCTCGTCAAAATTGCAACGCCAGGATCTCAGGGTCTCGCTTTTCCTCCGAATTCCTATGTTTACGTCGTTGCTCGTTCCCCGAATTTCCGCCTCCCTCGGCTCCTCCCCCCCCCCCCGGCAGGAGCCACGGTCCTCATGTTGGTGAGCCCGCCGTCGAACATCCTTCGCCGCACCTCCACGGGCGGGCGAGAAGGGAGAAGTGGGGGAGGGAGGAGGAGGGGGAGGGGAAGGAGGAGGAGGAGGAGGAAAAGGAGGAGGAGGAGGAGGAGGAAGAAAAGCCGGAGGAGGAGGAGGAGGAGGAGGAGGAGGAGGAGGGAGGAAGGAGGAGGGAGATAGAGAGGAGGAGGAGGAGAGAAAAGCCGAGGAGGAGGAGGAGGAGGAGGAGAGGAGGAGGAGGAGGAGGAGGTAGGAGGAGGAGGAGGGGGGGAGGAGGAGGAGAAGGAGGAAGAAGAGGAGGAAGAGGAGAACGCCCCCTCCACGTGCGCGCGGGGATGGCCCGTCCCTGGGGCCAGAAGGGGCTAGGAGGAGGAAGAGGAGGAGGAGGAGGAGGAAGAGGAGGAGGAGGAGGAAGAGGAGGAGGAGGAAGAGGAGGAGGAGGAGGAGGAGAAGGAGGAAGAAGAGGAGGAAGAGGAGGAGGGCTCTGACGGCTCTGATGAAACGGCTAGATTTGAACGCCCACGCCCACGCCTACGGTGAGCGAGCGCTGAGCAAACTCAGCTTTCCGAGGGAGCCCAGCAGGCGACGAGCGGACCAGACGCCCACGGAGCGAAAAACGGCCCAATAGTCCGAGGCGAGTCCAGCTGCAGCAACGCGATGAGGGACAAACCGATATTCCAAGGTGCCTAGCCGTCGCGACGAGGCAGGGGCTATGCCCGACACAGCCGCCACCGATGGGCCGAACGCCTCTATGCCGCCGGCGGCGGCTTGTCGAAGGTCTAACGACCCCCGAGTTTGATCGCCTTCTGCTGGCGCTGCTTGCCGTTGATGGGCTCCTCCATGATGATCTTGGCCGCAACATTCAAGCGGGTCTTGATCATCGCAACCTCCTTTGCTCTCGATGGGCTTCACCATGACGATGTTGGTCTCCTCCTTCTGGCGGGCTTTGATCACCACAACGTCCTTGATGACGATTTTGCTGGAACGCCCATGCGGTCCGGCCCCGGTCGCCTTCTTGTCTTCCTGGAAGGCCACGGCTGCGCCTCCGTCGCTGGTTCCCCCGCCGCGCTGCGCCCCCTCCACGTGCGCGCGGGGATGGCCCGTCCCTGGGGCCAGAAGGGGCTAGGAGGAGGAAGAGGACGAGGAGGAGGAGGAGGAGGAGGAAGAGGAGGAGGAGGAGGAGGAGGAAGAGGAGGAGAAGGAGGAGGAGAGGGAGGAGGAGGAGGAGGAGGAGGAGGACGAGGAGCGGCACCCCTGGGGGTGACGAGGTCTCCCACTGCTAACGCGGCGGCCGATGGGCTGGGGCACGGACTACACGGGATCTCCGAGCAGAGGCACGAAAGCGAGCAGAGATGAAACTGCAGGCGCGGTTGGCAGAGACAAGATGGGCACGACAGGATTGGACAACGGAATGAATGAGAACAGTGGCAAGAGCACGCGACAACAATTCAGGGGGGGAAGAGGAGGTGAACAAGGTGAGGGACTAACACTGCGAAAGGCTCTTCGCCTCAGCTCAGAGGCAGATGAGGAAGACATCGACGAACAGCAGGAATGATAGCAGGACAACAGGTAATGCAGCATGCTATCTTCCTGCGCGGGCCCACATCCAAGCACGCATTTTCCAACTGCCTGACAGTAGCGCCGAGCGGTATCCCAACCGTTAAAGATGGTCTTGACAACATGTGTGATAGTGCACGTCGGCAACATCTGTTGTTCGAAATGGGCGATCCGAGAACAGGAGTGAGCGATGTCCTCAATCGGGGCATCCGGGAGCAACTTCTTAATACGGTCTTGGACGATGTTGGCGATGTTTCCGTGATTCATGTTAGCCCTGATGGTGGTCTCGTGTTGCTTTGCAGGGTGTGTGTGTGTGTTTTCTGGAAGTCACTAGGAATGGGGAACTAGGGGGGAAACTGGGCGTAGATCTCGTACATACCTGAAATACAACCGAGTCATTCGAACATCCATTCAGCCCCCACGTCAGATTGCAGAAGTCTGTCTCCAATGTCAGCTGAATCACGTCCGACAGATTCTGTAAGCTGCCGGAGGTGTGCGCCACGCGAATCACAACAGCCTTGGAGGAGGTCTCCAGCATGCGGCACCCCGGCGGATGCCCTAGCTCGCTCAGGCGCACCAGCGCCCCTGGCGGAAAAGAGTGACGAGGACAGCAGGTCAACAACGTTCTTTCTTGGTCATCGGGAAAAAACTGGGCGATGCGCGGCGGGATCGGGACACAATATAGATTGAATGCGCCGATGGACGACGTTAATCCTTACCTCAGACATTTCACCTCGTGAGTCCCCCGCCTCATCTTCGCGCTGGCCTTCAGCCGCGCGCATTCACGAGCACCTCGCCCGACGGGCACACCGAGAGCGGTAACCAAATAGGCGATCTTGAATTCAGAAGCCTCGAGACCGTGATCGCTAAACTTCTGGTAGACATGTTACTGGGGAGCTTCATCTTTTATATAAAAAAACGGGATGACACATTTCTCAGCATTGAGAGAGGGCCCAGCGAATTCCCAAAACTGATTAATCACCCCAGCGACACTAGGGGACATAACAGCATGAACAATAATGTGCGCAGCAACAGATAGATCGCCCGCAAAGGCCGAGGGAACATGAACAGACCTAAGCTGCAGCCGTCCGAGTCCACGAAATAGGGGGCCCGTAGCAAGGGCTCATCGGAGTCCACTTGGAGGGCGCCCTTGACGAATGCCACGAAGTGCCAGAAAGCCTCTGGAACTCTGGGAACCGATTGAGATGTTGCGTACCACATTCTGGTAGAGGGCCTCCAGATCCTGCAAGATGACCTTGGGCAGCCGGACCGCGGTCATCACAGCGAAGAGCCAGGAGTGGAATGCATATGCGAAAGCTGCTTTCAAATCGAGGGTGGCTCCGCCAACTCCTTCAGCGCCGTCGAAGACCCCCCGCTGCGCCAGTGCCCGGTTCGAAATCGCGCACAGTATCCACGAGCATCCCTCCCCAAATAAATCCCCGCTGCGTTGTGTGAAGGTGATCTTAGACAAGAGGTTTAGGAGGGTGGGCCATAGTATGAGCCATGAGCTCCTGATCAATGCTACTGAGCACCACGGGCCGAGCGCCTTCAGCTGGTTTTACTAGCACGGCCACCTGGGGGAAGGCCACCCTTCGGCAGGAAGGCCAGCTTGCAGTGATCGAAAGATTCGCGCAGGGCTCCGCCTGCCATCATAAAAAAGGCAATGCTAGCAATTGGCCTCTTCCACTACTGGGTGACCACACGGTCGAACCGAACATGGAAGCCCATCAGGGCCCGGGGCCGAGTCGATCCTGGAGCGCAACAGGTATGAGATCCGTTCGGGGCCAATGACCCAGGGGTACATCTGGTGGCTGATCGCGGTGAACTGGCGGCTATCAGGCTCGAGTGTACTTCATGGGGTTGTAGTCGTCATGGCAAGCGTTAAGCCATTGTGCAACTTCTTGTACGGCTGGTATCTTGTTGCAATTGAGTGGGGATTGGCCTCCAGTGAGTAATGTGTGGAAAAGCTGGTTGGTCGTTACCACTTGTAGACGTAAGACTAGGTCGTCTCGGTTGAGTTCCGTGAAAGCCCGTAGGTCGTTGCCGTAATGTTTGATTGTGGGGTATTTCTGTGGCTTGGGCATTGGTAAGTGCATGTCTGCGTGGATGGCGTCTTCGAGCTTGAATGTTTTCGTTTGGGTTGTGATTGGTAAGGTGAACGTTGACAGTGGCGTAGCTTGGGAGTCGGGACGTAGTGAAGGGTGTAGGCATTGGTGGCCGTTTTGGTGTACGAACATCTCGTTGTTGTACTTGTTGAGACATCTGTGCCAACCAGGCAGAAGCAGGCCGTCGTTTGGGAACCTGTATGTGTAGGTGTTGGAGTACTCGTGGTAGTATACTGCGTAGTGTCCTCCTCCTCCTCCTCCTCCTCCTCCTCCTCCTCCCTGCCTCCCTCCCTCCTGTCGAAGCGGCTCAGCGGCAGCCCTGCCGGCCTGCGCCTTGGACGGATCCAGGCAGTGCTGTTCCTGCGGCGCGCCCGCCCCCCAAGGTGCGGCCTTCCGGCTCTCCTGGAGTGCGCGGCGGCCTTCCGTCCTTACAGGCCTCCTCGTTCGCACCTGCCTGCTGCGTGACGTCCTCTTTTATCGCCTCTCGAAACCCTTCCGGCGCAATGGCAGGACACCGTTTCTTCGGCCACAGCGTGGCGGGTCGCAGTCAGTAAGTATTGCGACTCCACGTGATGGTGGCCATGTGCTCATGTGCGTTTGATGCTGCTTGTTTGCTGGCTTGCTTGCTTGCTTGCTTGCTTGCTCGCCTCTGGGACACAACAAATCGGCATAAACATAAACGTTGGAAGGTCAGCGTGGAGTTGTCGGATCGACGCTGGACCCCCCTGGCGGCGCCGAGGGGGTTCAGCGTCGATCCAATGCATCCGCGCGGACCTCCTAATATTCATGCTTAGGCAATGTCTTCTTCTTCTTCGAGCGCCATTGAGAGTACCAGTTGCGTGTTACCTCTCGACCCGCCGCGCATCCACAAAGCCACATGCGCCCATGTCCCTCCCAACCCACCCACCCAGACACTAGATAGAAATGCCCCCCAACAAATCCCTGCGAACTGCCTGAGGAATAATGCGGCACGCGCTGAGCTGATTTCCTGCACTTGAATGCATCAACTGCGGGAGAACGTGACTCAAAATTGCTGGGAGGTCCCGAAGAAAAGCTGGGCCCCCATACGCGCTTCAGAGCCTCGAGATTTTCCCAAGAGGCCTTCAAGAGGCTCAAAGATGCTCCGAGGGAGAGACTGCAATAGACGCCAAGTCCTACATCTACTGCTTTCGAAAGATCAAGAATTCAACAAGACGTTGACTCTGTCGAGCTGTCTGCTCAGCGAATGCCCTCACCAAACCGCTGGCAGAGCCAGCCACTTGCTCAGCGGAAACAAAGTAAAGCAGGACCGCTTTATCTCAGGATCTCGGGGCAAGCTCCCAGACAGGGGCAGGGAGATGGGAAATGGCCCAAAAACGACGGTGGCAGGTGCATGGCGGGGCGTTGCGCCCCAGCCGATGGTGCATCCCAATGCCTCCATGTCTTGGGCGCACGCTGACATGGATCATGGATCCGTGGATCTGGCACGTTGGCGCCAAGTCCATGGATCGGGGAAGGTACCCGTGAAGCACGAGGCCAACGCAGCCTGATCCAGCACGGAGCGTGCCGATTCTGCACGGAAGCGGGACCCGCCGCTAATCCACGCGTCTTGACCCATGCTTGCGCTTCCTCGAGTGTCTCGGCCGCGGGACTGAATCCATCCTCCCCCCTGCAGGCGAACGCCAGACTCGGAGGAGGGCCAGCTGAGACAACGTCTTTTCTACCGCCCGGCGCGAATTGGTCCCTAGACCCCCCCCCCTTCGGAGGGGGGGGCCTCCTCCTCCTCCTGTTCCTCCTCCTCCTCCTCCTCCTCCTCCTCCTCCTCCTCCTTCTCCTTCTGACAGAATGTCCAGAAAGAGCAGCATGCGGCTTGCTCCTGCACCTGCAGCGTCTGGCGCAGGAAGATGATGGCCGAGTTGAAAAAGAAGCTCGGTCTCTCAGAGTTGTGGTCCCCATCGAAGAGGATCAAATTCTTGTCCCCTGGCATGCTGCGCGAACAGACGCGAAACACGCAGCAGGCTGCGCGAGCAGCTCAGGAGGCCAATCTGGCCAGAAGGACGACAACGAAGTTGCACACAACCGCTGCAATCATAGTGCATGACTCGCCAGGAGAGACACACGGATCCGATTGGGAAAGCACCCGCAGGCACACTTGTTCTTCCCCTAACGGGGTGGTGAGGGCGGAGTTGGTCTAGGGCGGTTCCTCTTCCAACCCCCCTGCCACTGCGAGGGGTAGTTTACCGTTTACCCCTTCCCCTAGCCCCTCCCCGTGGCTCAACTCGCAACAAGCTAGAGCGCCTAAGATGGCCCAGCATCGCTCTAAGATGGCTAAGAGGGCCAAATCTGCTCTCCATGATAGCTGAAGATATCCGAAGGCGCCTACGATGGCCTCCAAAATGCTCCAAGAGGCTCGAAGACCGCGCCAATGCGGGCACAAGTGGCCACGAAGCCTCCCAAGTATGCCGCCGAGGGGCCAAGGTCCTCCCGAATCCTTTTGCGGCAGCTTTTCTGTTTGCCTTCTCGCCCCTTCGGCTTCCGATTGGCCTAAGGCCTCAAGATGGCTCCGAGATGGCCCAAGAGAGCTCCAAGGGGGGGCCAAGAGGGGCTCCAAGACGGCCCCAAGAGCGCCCTAGAGCCAGGAATCACGCTCTCACTGCGGATGTCCTCACGATTTGTTTGGGAATCGCACTGTCGCTCGAGGTTTCCTCACGATTCATGCATGACGCACTCTTCAGCAACCCGCCTGCTCGATCTGGCCGCCAACGCCCGTCTTCTGGACCCTCCTGTTAGGATCTACCCGCCCGATCTGCCCGTCTGGTTCTGAAACGTGTGTTCTGCTCCTAGCCCCTCTCCTGCTGACTTCTCTCGTGCTCCATCCTCCTCCCTCCCCCTTGTCCCTTCCTTTCATCCGCCCTCTCTCCCCCTGCCTTATAATAGGGGCTGCGCGAATTACACATTGCAGGAGGCATCATCAACACATCCTGCAGAGGAAGGCTTTCGCTGCAGGCAAGGCCCTCGCTCGGGAAATCCTGAACAAATCCTGCAGCACAAGCGTTTCGCTCGTTTGCAGGTAAACTAAATGTACGCCCAAGGGGGTAGGATCGAAGACGAAGAGGACGGGTATCTAGGATTTTGGATCTACGTGTTGAATGGCACGCGAGCAGATAAGAACGAACAACATTAAAATGATTGTTGTTGTTATAATTGATGTTGCGTTGTCGTCGTCCTCGCCCACGACCCGCCCGCGACCCACCCCGCGACCCACCCGCGACCCACCCGCGACCCAACCACATTGCTTTGACGACGCTTCGGCGTCTGCGGCGGGCTCGTTGTGCAACGTGTAACAAAAGTCCGGCACCTGCGGCGGGCTTCTTCCGAGCCTTGAGGACTGCCGACGGCCTTGCCGCCCGTGCCCGCAACTGCGGGGTGCTGCGCATACATATAGTTATATCTAATAGTTATATCTATATATACATATATATATACATATATAGAGAGAGAGACAGAGAGAGAGAGAGAGAGACAAAAAAAGAGAGAGAGAGAGAGAGAAAGGGAAAGAGAGACACGCCGACATCCACACATCTGCCCTCCTCCAGCGAAAGAACGTCACTGCCGCGAAAGCATCAACGTGGCGCGTCCTGACACGCACACACACAAACAATGTTCCGTCGCAGGGCGGCAGAGAAGGTCCGCGCGCGCGCGCTCTAGTTGGCTGGGAGCGGGCGGACGAACTGCACGGCTGCAAAAGGGAGACGGAGGCGGAGGGCAGCCGCAGAGTCGGGAGAAAGAGGGAGGGCACTGCCTGCACGAAGACCTCTGGCACACACGCACACACGGGCACTTTTCCTCCGCTGGCACTGTGGCATTGCAAATGGCGAGTATCAAACATACACATTAGTATGCTTTGCGTGTTGTTCTGAGGGCGGGAAAGCCGAGCCGAGTTGAGAACGGCACAATACCCAAATCAAAGTGTGGGCATGCAGTGTAGAGAACGCGTGGCCCTCTGAGGGTAAGCAGAAGAGCGCAGCTCTCACGCGTGACCCAGTTGGCGCGCAGCTAGCACACGCAACCGAGGAAGCGGCTGTTGCGCCACCAACGGCGGAGAGGAAGCAGAGGAGGACAGGCAGACACGGAGCGCCGAAGCGCTGCAGCCCCACTCGACAGGCGACCCGTGCCGTAGCAGCAAGCGGAAGGTGCCTGCCCAGGCGAGCCTGGCAGAGCAACCACGCGAACGGGGCATCAGAGCGGAAAGACTGAGGACAGCGTGCAGATGGCCTGCAGAGTGCCCGCCGACCAAACCAGCCGCGGCACGCCAGCCTGCGCAGGGCAGGGTGTGGAGACAGGAGGGAGGACGCGGATGTCGGGCGAGGCGAAGCGAGCAAACGCGTGAGGCGAGCGCCGCAGGCCTGCTACGTGCGCGCCATGAGCTGCACCAGCACCCAGCCTGCGCAGGACGGCTTGCAGCAAAACCGCTGCAGCGGAAGGAGCGCTCCTGCCGCCACAGGCGGGGAACAGAAACAGTGATCCATCTTCCAGATAGACCTGGCCGAAGGCTAGGCGCTGGACAGAGGACAGAGGACGCACGAAGAGGCAAACCATGGCAGCAAATGGCCACACCGGCCTGCAGGGCGTCCGCCGGTGGCCCAGCGGCGGCGCACAGACCTGCGCGGGGCGGCGTTGGGGCCAGGCGGGCGCTGCCGCCCTGCCGAGTGCCCGCCAGAGAGGTCCAAGCGGCGCAACGCCCTGCGCAGCAAGCCGAGTGCGCCCGGCCTCCGTGCGCAGGGCTCCGACAGCCGTGCCAGCACGGCGACGGCGTCGGCCAGCTTGGCCAATGGCCGGTCGTCGCCCGGCAGATGGCGACGGGCGGAGGGCCGAGCGGACGAGAAGCTGGGGAGAGCAGCGGGCTGAGGAACGCGGCGAGCACCCGCAGGACTCCGCCCAGCAGCGCCCTGGGGGCCACAGCCGCGGGCAGAGGACGCCCAGCAGCTGCCCTCACACGCCGAGGACGAGCCCTTGACGAGGAGGCACCTGCCTGCAGGGCGCCCACCCGTCGTCCATCAGCGGCAGAGCGGGACGACACGCCGAGGCAGGAGCAGAAGAGGAGGGGGGGGGAATGACCGAGCGTCGCCGGCCCCAGCCAACGAGCACACGAGTTCAGAGGCACCCCCGCTCGGCCCGTCGCGCGCTGGGCACGCGGAAGGCGCAGGGGTGGAGATGGGCGAAGGAGACCGGCGCAAGCAGATGAATAACTCAGGAGGAGGACGGCCCTCTCAGCAACGGGCGCCGGCTCAGGGATAGCCCCGCACAGGCACACAAGACTCGGAGGACGCCGCCGAGGACACGAGCGCAGAGGGGGGACGAGACTGGCGAGCGAGTGCAGAATGAGCCCCGCGCCCGAAGCCCAGAGACAGACGCCACAGTGCGCCCCGCCCCGCGCAGGCGGTGCCGAATTACCATTGCTCCGAGGTGGACGACCCGCGAGAGCGGCAGCAACAGCAGCAGCAGCAGCAGCAGCAGCAGCAGCAGCAGCAGCAGCAGCAGGGCAGAGAGGGGGGGGCGGAGGCGACAAATGAGACAGCTGGCGACAGGGCCGACCCCAGAGCCAGAGAAAGAGAAGAGAGGGAAACGAGAAGCAGCAGCGAGAAGCAGCAGCGAGGCAGCGAGGGGCGAGCGGCAAGGCAGAAGGGGCCTCCGCCTCCTCCTCCTCCTCCTCCTCCTCCTCCTCCTCCTCCTCCTCCTCCTCCTCCTCCTCCTCTGCTGGCGGGGTGGGTGGAAGGCAGCCCAGAGCCAGAGGGAGAGCAGCAGCACGGCAGGAGGGCCTGGGTGGAGGGGCGGCGAGGGGCAGCCGCGGGGGGGGAAAAGGGAGCGGCAGCGCCCATGGCGCACAGCTCGAGGGCCGAGGAGAGGGCACGAGACCGACAGACGCAGCGAGAGGAGTTGAGCAGGGACCGACCGTCCCGGCGCTCCTGTGGGCCTACCACGCAAGGTGCTCAGACCCCAAACATGTCCCAAGAATGAGAGCAGTGTTCTCAGCACGGAAGACCGATGAGTCCAAACCAGACGGTCTCGGCCAGAAAGGTTCTCTAAGAGCAGCTCGTGCAGACTACCCACAAAAGGTTCTTAGAACGCTCTCTGGTGGGCCTAGGAGGCGAACGAGGACACCTCGCCACCGCTCGAAGGAGGGCGACGAACACCCGCCTCGAGTCCGAGGGCGCGTCCCCGATGCAGCCCACGCAGGCCCCGACGAGGCCAGCCAGGAGGCTGCCCCCCACGGCGGACACGCCCGTGGAAGCTCTCTCTAACGCTGAGCTGGGCATGCCCTCCTGCGAGGTGTGCTAAGCAGGAGGCACGCTACCAAAGTGTTGAGAAGCATATTGGTTAGAATCTTCGATGTGGATGTGCGGCGCTTGCGCACACCTGCATGCACGTTGCACACGTCAATCCATCGAACGAGACCGCTTGCGCCCGCCTACATGCACGTTGTACGCATCAATCCATCGAACGAGGCACTGTGACTTTGAGTCCGTGGCGCCTGCATACGCCTCGTGGAGCTCCTCGGAATGGTGGAGCTTGATAAAGACATCCTTCTCGCCATGCGCGAAAAGGGCCGGGATAAAGCACTTGCTGCAGTTGCCGATGGGGCTGACGTCCTGCGAAACGGAGGCGCTCGGATAACAAGCACAGCGGAACAGGCGGTTCTGGCTGCTAGCGCGATTCCTTACGAAAGCACCCAGCTCGATAGTCCCCACTGGTAGACCATACGCACTCCCTTCGATTGATTGCGGCCGCCTCCTCCCAGCTTTCACAGCATCCCTGCGCTGAGGCGCCGGGCCGCTGCGACGAGCGACGGGTCTTGAGGTGCTGCCCAGAGGTCCTGGGTCCTGGATGGGCTGACAACCCAGATCCCCGACGTCGTGATTTTTCACCACGTCGACCCTCAGAGGTCTGGACCCCTTCCCTAGGACCAGTTTTTTATCCTGAGTTTTTTGACGGCCCCGAGGCCCGGTAACGGCACCCGGAGTTCGAAAATAGCGAAAAACCTCCCGTCGTGTTTTTGTCACAACGCGAGGGGGTCTGGGAACCGCTCCCCGCGACGGCGAGAAAATGCCCCCGCAGCCTCCCTCCGTCAGAACTCCGACGTCGTGACTGCCTGTCGCGACGGGGACCTCACGACGTTATCCCGAGCAGGCCTGTTGACCGTGCCTGAGCCCGGTGCGGGCCCCTGGAGGCCGAAAATTGCCGAACAACTCCCGTCGTGTTTTCTTTTTCACGACGCGAGGAAGTCAGGGTCCGTCTCTCCCTCCTCCTCCTCCTCCTCCTCCTCCTCCCCTCCTCTTCCTCTTTCATCCTCTCCCTTCTCCTCCACCTCCTCTTCCTCCTCCTCCTCCTCCTCCTCCCCTCCTCCTCCTCTCCCTCCTCTCCACTCCCTCCCTCCCTCCTCACTCCTCCTCCTCCTCCCATCCTCCTCCTCCTCCTCCTCCTCCTCTCCCTCCTCCTCCTCCTCTTCTCTCTTTCCCCTCTCCTCTTCTTCCTCCTCCTCCTCCCTCCTCCTCCTTCCTCCTCGTCCGTCCTCCTCGTCCTCCTCGTCCTCTCGTTCCTCTTCTCCTCCTCCTCCCTCCTTCCTCCTCTCTCCTCCTCCTCCCTCCTCCTCCTCCTCCTCCTCTCCTCTCCTCCTCCTCTCCTCCTCCTCCTCCTCTCCTTCTCCTCCTCTCCTCTCCTCCTCCTCCTCCTCCTCCTCCTCCTCCTCCTCCTGCTCCTCCTCCTCCTCCTCCTCCTCCTCCTCCTCCTCCTCTCCCTCCATGAGCAGCCCGCGCCGTCGAATACCAGACAGGAACGCGTCGCCGCAAGGTGCGGTGGGGCCAAAGAGATCGATCCCGCTCGCGCGGACCCATCCCGTGCGGGGCGGTAAAATCGGCGATGCACCGGCGACGTCGGCGTGGAGAAAATCTGGCTCCATACCCAGACCCCCGACCTCGTGATCTTTTTACGACCTCGACTCTCAGAGGTCTGAACCCCTTCCCTGGGACCAATTTTTCATCCTGAGTTGTTTTTTGACGGCCCCGAGGCCCCGCAAGTGCCCCCAGGGGCCGAAAATGGCGAAAAAGCTCCCGTCGCGATTGTTTCACGACGTGAGGGGGTCTAGGTATCGAGCCACCCCCATATACGGGCTACGCATCGGCGATGCGGCGCGATGCACTGGCCCCATCTACGTCGACCCCAGCTGGGCAGCCTGGAATGAAGAAGACGTCGGGCGCGACTTACTGGGGGCAGGAAATGGGGAAGGGGGGGGGGGGGAGAAAGGTGCCCTGCTGCCCCCTTCTGGTACCTCTAGATGGCCCCTTCAGGGGCGCTACGGGCCCCCGTTCTGTAGCCCTCGATGCCCCCCCCTCATTTATCGCCCCCCCCCCTTTTACGCGCCCCCCAGAGACGAGGGGGTTGGGTTGGCCGGTGCCCGGCGCGCAATTGTCGACGCGCTCGCCTCCATCTCCCCCCCGCACGGGCCGGTCGGGAAGCGGCCCCTCCTGGGACGCCAACGGACCAGGGCTGGGCCGCGGCATGCTGCGGGGACGGCCGCCGCAGTGTTGAGGGCGTCCACAGTGCTGGGGCCAGGGCGACGGGCGCATGAACCCTGAGATCCTGGCGTTTCTTTTTTGGGGAACCGCGGGCGTTTTCGCCTTGTCTCGGGCCCCGGGACCCTCACAGATCGATCCGGCTCGAAAAATGATGCTGTAGGATATAGGGTCCAGGGCTCCGGGCCTGATTTGTAGGGTGTTGCCATTTTTCGCCACGTCGGATCTCAAGAAAAGGCAAAGTCCCACTGGGACCAGTGTTGTGCAGGGGCCTGGGGGAGGAGAGGAGGAGCCGGGCCAGCGTTTGCCCAGCCCTGAGGTCTGATAGTTCTCAAAATAAGAACGCATTCATATCATATAGCATGCATGCTGGGAAATACAAGGTCGAGAGGAACGCCGGGGGCCAGCGCCGACGCTAGCGTTGGCGCTGGCCCCCGGCGTTCCTCTCGACCACACGCCAGAGCGACCCTGGGTAAGAGCGGCCCCTGGTGCGCGGCTTTGGCTGGCCGCGACGGGGCCCCAACCAGGCGCGCAGGCCGCTCCCACCGCATCGCGTTCGGCGATCGGGGGGCACCAGTGGGCCCGCACCAGAGGTCACTCCGGCGAAGGGTCACTCTACGTGTCGACGATTGGCGCCGACCCGGAGCTTGGGAGGGGGGGGGGGCCGACGTGTGATCCCTGGGCCAAGACCCCCGACATCGTGACTACTTCACAGCTTCGCCCCCCCCTAAGGTCTGGGCCCCTCCCCCGGGGCCGGTGTTTCGTCCTGCGTCGTTTCGTTGACGCTCCCGAGGCTCGGCGAGGGCCCCCGGAGGCCGAAAAAGGCCAAAAACCTCCCGTCGTGACTTTTTCGCCACGCGGGGGGGTCTGGGGAGTCCGGGCCAGGGGCCGCCTGCCACCGGCTGCGCGCCAGGGGGAGGGGGGGGGGGCAGGCCAGGCTGGCGGCGCGGCACCCACGCGCGCTTCTTCTTTGAAGGGGCCCCAGGACACACAAATAGATACACACAAATAAAATAATGCCCCATAATTTTCCTATATTTTCTGGGTTTCTGTCTTCCCGCCCAATTCCCATATTTTCCCATGTTCTCTGGGGGATCGAGGATTAATTGTGTCTGTGTGTTTTTGTTCCCTCCTGATTGTTGGGGCGACCGCGGCCTCGCGCGCAGCGTCGAGGCGGAGAAGGGCAGCCGATCCGGCGCCCGAACGGGCGCGCGCGCGCGACCCGCCCCCCGTCAGCTGGGGCAAGGATGATCCGTCAGGCTCAGCCGAGCCATGCGCATACCTAACACAGGGCCAGGATCGGGATAAATCGCTCCAGAGCGTTCCGGAGCGCTCTCAGAGCGTTCCGGAACGCTCTGGAGCGGCTGCGGCGCCCAATACATCCTCCAAACCCGCCGATTCTCAGAGATTTCGAGTTATCGCGATCCGATTTTGTCCCGATCTTCGCGTCGTTTTAATACCCAGAGATCCGACGTCGTGATTTGTTCAATTCGCGGTCCCCCGAAGCCTCGACCCATGCCCCAGGACCGGTTTTTCCTCCTGAGTTGTTTTTTGACGGCCTCGAGGCCCGGCGAGGGCCCCCAGGGGCCGAAATTTGCGAAAAACCTCCGCCTTGATTTTTCAATGCGCTGGATCTCTGGGGCAGCGTGGGTTTGTCGACAAGACGGTCGAGCCAGCCGACCGAGGTCGACCGGGACCAGCGGGGCTGGTAAGGCCGTGCACGCAGTTGGGAAGCAGAGGCGCAGGCGGGGGCCGGAGCGGCGGACCGAGGAAGACGGGCGGCGAGCAGAGGGCAGCAACAGGCACACGCGCACAAACGCACCCAGACATGCGATGTCCTGACTTTTTCTGCACGGGGTCCCTGGAAGTCCCGACACTTTCTCCGGGACCGGTTGTTCATCCCGAGTCGTTCCTGGACGGTCCCGAGGCCCGGCGAGGGCCCCACGAGGCCGAAAACAGCCGAAACGGCCGAAAACCCAGCCGAACAACGGCAGAACACGACGCGATCATGCCTGGGACGCACGCTTCTTCCGACGGGGCGAAACTCTGCGAAGGGCCTCTCGTCCGACTGGGGGCAGCCGCTCCGCTATAGGCAGGCAGCGCGCGCCTCGGGGCAGCCGCGGCGCGCAGTGCTCGGTAACTACATCGCGCGGGCGGAGCGCACCTGCGCGGGGCCAGGATCGATGCGTGTCTCGGGGACGTCAACGGACCAGCTCACCGATCCCGGCCCAGCCGATCCCGGGTCTGGGATCGGTGCGCATGGTTTTCATGTATGGCCGAGCCAAGGGGGACGCACACACGGATCCTGGGCCCAGGATCGGCCCGGGCCAGGATCGGCGAGGTGGTCCGCGCGCGTCCCCCCCCAAATATCCACCGTCTGGAAGACCGATGCCCCATGGGCACCTGGGCGCGGTGGAAATGGGTATGCTCTCAAAGTTCTTGCGCTTCGGGGCTCTTACTTGCCTCGAGTAATTGTCCCCGGGTTTCTTGGACAATTGCTGGAGCGCTGGAGTTGACGACGAGCATGTGAGTTCACAATCTCAAGCTTTTCATCAGTCGCTGCGCCATGTAGCTTGCACCACATGGCTTGCATCTCACAACTTGCACCACACGGCGGGGAAACCAACATGTCCGATGCCGCTACTCCCCAGACCTCTCCTGGGGTGCTTTCTGACTAGAGCTTCGAGGCGAATCCAGCGGTGGCGACGAGGGCATCCCAGGAGGCCCCAAAATACTAAAACGAGGCAAGGGTAACGGTATTGGTACCGTTTCCTCCCCTCGCACCACACAATTTCCCTCGACCTTCACCTTCCGCATCTTCCGCACCTTCCGCGCGGCAGGTGCCGTGCTGCCGCGGACGCCACCGCGAGCGCACCAGCGGCCACCGTCAAGGTCGCAGCAGCGGCCGCGGCGGCCGCCGCAGCCGCATCGCGGCGGCAACTTCCCGCGCGGAAGGTACGGATGGTGCAGGTCGAGGGCAATTGCACCACACAGCCTGCACCACACTGTGCGTTAGGCGTCGCTTAATGAGGGGGGCGACACATTGGGGGGGAAGAAAGGCGCACTGCTCGGGGCCAAGGAGGCCCCATTTGCCCTAAAGGGCCACTCTTCTGCAGCCCCTGCTGCCCCCCCGTTTCTGCCCCCCACCCCCCCCCCCCGCGACGCCCCATGCGCGACTGCTCCCCCACGCCGCCATGGGGGGCACCCACGTCCGCGGGGCTCCTGTGGGTCGAAACGGGCCCGCTGGCGCACGGACCTCGCGCGGGCGCCGGCGCGGCGGGCGTGGCCAGCCCGCTGGGCCACCGCCGACCCAGACCTCCGACGATGTTGACACAAATGTGTATCAATCTGGGTGTTTTTCACAGCTTTCGGCCCTCCGGCGTCTTCGGGCCCTGGGACCATCAAAGAAGCGGATGACTGACGAAAAGCTGCCCCCCGCCCGGGGCAAGGGTCGGGGCCTCTGGGGGCGAGGGCTCCAAGGATCAGATCGGCGGGTGTCAGAGGACGCCGTCGCCGTCGCGGTGGGAGCGGCCGCGAGGGCCTTCCGAGGGCTCCGAAGCTCCCAACTCTCCACCCAAGACGAGGAGGAGGAGGAGGAGGAGGAGGAGGAGGAGGAGGAGGAGGAGGAGGAAGAGGAGGAGGAGGGAGGAGTGACGGCATTTTGCAATCGGCTCGGGGTGGGTTCCAGGGCTCCTGGAGCATCCAGCGGCCATCGTTTCTGGAGCCCCTGGCGGAACAACAGGGAATCTTGGGAAATCCTGGAAACCTTGGAAGTCCTGGGAATCTTGGAAATCCTGGAAACAACGGCGTATCAGTATCTTGACTTCTTGCTCCTCTGACACGTACCTCCAACAGGGTTTCAAGCGGGCCACCAACTGCCCTATCGGGCCCTGGCTGGCCACGAAGCCACGAAGAGGCCTTCAAGAGCCCCCCCTCCAAGGCAGGCGCCTGCGAGGCTAAGAATGCTGGAAGTAAGTGTGTGCCTTTGAACCTTGGCTCAGGCCGCCGAGGCCCGAATCTGAATCAAAAAACAAAAAGGTAAAGTTTGAAGCCAGGCAGCAGTTTTCGGCTTGAGAGCTCTTGGGCTTCAGCCCAACCCCGACAGCCAACCCCGACAGCCGACTGGCGCTCCACAGGGCCTCCCGCAGGGCCCCTCGACCGCCCCGAGACAGCCCGAGTCGGCGCAGACATCTGGGGCCTGCGAGCATAACCCTCGCCAAGCCAGATAAACGGGAAGGGGTTACCGAGGGCAACGAACGGAGGAAGCTGCCCCTCCCATCCAGATCCCACTCCCACCACTCTCTCTCCCACTCGTGCTCCTCACCTCCTCCCTCCTGCTCCCACTCCTGCTCCTTCCGTCGGTGCTGCGCTCACACCACTCGCTCCCGTCTCCTTTCCGGGGGGCACAAAAGGGGGGCAGGGGCAAAACTGGGAATGGAGGGAGAATCGCTCCGGCCCCCGGAGGAAAGGAACGCGCCGAACGGGAGCATCCCGCTGGGCCCGCTCCCCAGCCCCACCTTGGGAGAACCCTCCCTCTACGAACCGCGTCCCTCCCGCGTCGCACCGGCGTCGCACCGGCGTCGCACCCGCGTCGCACCGGCGTCGCGTCCATCCTTACCCCTCCCGCGTCGCACCGGCGGATCATGCTGGTGGCCATGGAGATGGCGAAGCCGGGCACGCGGAGGCCCTGGCGCCGGGGAGGCGATTGGCGATTGGTCGGTCGATCAGTCGATGCCGGTGCTCAGGGGGCGCCAGGACCGCACGAGGCCGCGGAAAGCCTGACGGCAATCGGGCAGGATCGCCGGAGAGGATGAGAATCCCACCAGCCCTCTGGGCGTAGGTGGTCTATAGAGCGCTTCCTCTTCCATCCCCCTTCTTCCCCTTCCGGGAGGAGATTGCCCCTCCCCTGTACCCCCTCACCTGGACTTGGACGAGGGGGGTCGCGAGGGGTTGCAGCGTCCAAGGTGGCCCACGACGGCTCCAAGAGCGCCTCAGAGAGCCCACGATGACGTCCAAGGTGGCTCAAGATAGCCCAAGGTGCCTCAAGATGGCTCCCAAGATGCTCCAAGAGGCCCCAAGAGCGCTCCAAGACTGCTCCAGGTGGCCACGGAGCCTCCCCAGGAGGCCGCCAAGAGGTCCAAATCCTTCCCAAACATTAGGCAAATCCATGTGCTCTGCTTTCTCGCCTTGTCGCTTCGGATAGCCTTCTGGGGCCTCAGGATGGCTTCAAGATGGCCCAAGAGGGCTCCAAGAGGGGCCCAGAAGGCCTACAAGACGGCCCAAAGACGGCCCCAAGAGCGCTCCAAGAGCGCCCCAAGAGCGCCACAAGAGCGCCCCAAGAGGCGAGTTTTGGGGCTCCCAAGGGTGGGCCCTAATTGAAGCTCCCATCTTTCTTGACCCTGCTCCTCCTCCACCTCCTCCTCCCTCGAACGATAACGGCTGGCCCCCTCTTTGCTCCTACGCTTCCCTGATTGTCTCAACTCGCTTGGGCGTCAGCTTTGGATGGGCTGTTCTGGGGATGCACGAAGCGTCAAGACTGTGTGACCTTCACGCTATCACGGCTGATGTTTTGTCGCATCCCGCGTCAAGAGATTCGTACCGAGCCGCGCTACAGACGCCCGGCTACCCGTGCCGCCGGGAAGCATTGGTGCTCGACACGTGCGCACCCGGCCGCGAATTCTCTGGTGCTGCGGTGCGGAAACAGTCCGAAGGCTCGGCAGGCATCCACAAACAGGCGTGGAGAGGAGCGGGTCACCCAGAGGAATAGGAAGAGACTGAATGGGATGACGAGCAATCCAGAGTGGGGTTTCTGCTTGTCCCTCTTGATGTGCATTAGGTGAGCATGTTTGGCAACTCATTCTCACAGATGCCGCCTCGGTTTAGTAGCCTTCCGCAGCCTTTAGCGGTTGTTAGTGTTACTGGCGGCCTTAACTGGCCTTTTAGTAGCCTTTTAGCCACCTTTAGATGCCTTCAGCGGCCTTTAGCAGCCTTTAGTGGCTTTCAGCGGCCTTCAGTAGTCTGCAGCAGAAGTGCAAAGAAGTGCACTATGCATGTTGCAATGAGCTTCCAAAAAGACCCCCTTAGAGAGTAGGACGTCTGCTTATCCTCCTCGATGTGTGCACACAGTTGGCCAGCCCAAAACATATCCCACCTCGGGCGATGAGGACCGCGAAAACTGGGGCTCTTAATTGCTGGTGGACTGTGCGATTTTGAAACCAGGTCCCCTCGGCAGCTCAATGAACATGCATGCCTTCGGCCACGCGGGGACCCAGGAAAGCTGAGAAGCCTTGAAAAAAGCTTTATGGGAAAGTCGACGATCCAGGAGGTGGCATCCCAGACATGCGACGTCCTAATGTTTTCAACACGGTGCCCCTGGAAGTCCCGACCCTTTCCCCGGAACCGGTTTTTCATCCTGAATTGTTTTTTTGGCGGGGCATCCCGAGACCCGGGGAGGGCCCCCCGAGGCCGAAAACGGACCCCAAACCTCCCGCCCTGTTTTTTTTTATATGAACGACGCGATCATGTCTGGGACATCTCCACACCACGGGCTCGAAACATTCCGGCCAGATGCCAAACCTGACCATTGAGCAGGGACCGACCGTCCCGGCATTCCTATAGGCCTACCTCGACACGTTCTCAGAACCCAAACATGTTCAAACGACAAATGCAGCTTTCTTAGAACAGACGCCCGGCGTGTTGACACAAGACGGCCTCAGCCAGAAACGCTATACAAGAAGAACATCTCGTGCAGACCACAGGGGGCTCTTAGAACACTCCTTGGCGGGCCCATCGGCGAGCCAGGACGCTTCGCCGCTGCTCGAGACCAGCCCGCTGCGGCCCACGTTGGGGCCCGCTCGGGGCGCGTGCCGCCCGGCTGCCGCGGCTGGAGGGTGCGGCAGCCGAGAACGGCCGGCGCCTGCCGCCGGAAGGAAGGCGGGCGGCGCCGCGGCACTCGGAGGCGAAGGCCGGGCGGAGACAACGGCGGCTCGCCCGCGTTGTGGCGTTGCCCATGAGGCCCTGGCGTTACGATTTTTCCACCACCGGCATCTTCGCTCGAGTGCGGGCCCCAGGACCCTCACAGGTCGATCCGGCTCGGAGAAGGGCGCAGGATGGGGCGATGCTGCAATTTTTGCGCAACGTCGGATCTCAGGGTGCGCACCCGCAAGTCGGAAGTAGGTGGAAGCATGAAGTAGGAGGGCGGCTGCCCTGAGATCCTGGCGTCTCGACTTTTTCGAGCCGGGCGTTTTCGCTATTTTTTCGGGCCCCAAAACCCTCACACATCGATTCGGCTTGGGAAATGACGCAGGAAGATGGGGTCCAGGGCTCCATGCGCACCCGCCGGTCGGAAGAAGTAGGTGGAAGCAAGAAGTATAGGAGGGCGGCTACTCTGAGATCCTGGCGTCTCGACTTTTTCGAGCCGAGCCTTGTCGCCCTTTTTCGAGCCCTGGGGCCCCCACGGATTGAGCCGGCTCGAAGATGCTGCAGAAAGATGGGGTCTAGGGCTCAGGGCGTGCTTCTGCGATGCTGCAATTTTGTCGCTACGTCGGATCCCAGGGCAGGTGGGAACATGAAGCGTCGGCTACACGCAAGAGTGACCCTGGGTAACAGTGGCCTTTGGTGCGCGGCTTTTTAGGGGGCCGCGGGAGGGGGGGGGCCAAACCCAAGCGCGCAGGACGCTACAATCGCATCGCGTTCGGCGATCGGGGGACCCCACCGGGCCCGCACCACAGGTCACTCTGGCGAAGGCTCACTCACTCTATTACGTGTAATCGAAAATAAGAAGGCGGGTCAAGTAGACTGGGCCCGGGCCGGTCCAGGGAACAGCAAAAGGCAACAAAACCATGTGGATCCTTGGAGCAGGGCATGAAGGCGATTGAAGTAGGTTGGGATCTGGGAGTTCAGAGGTGCTAACTCTCAAAGACTGGCGCGTCGTGGGGGGGGCGACGAATGGGGCGGAAAGGGGGCGGGTGCTCGGTTTCCCCCGGGGCCGTATGCGACCCGAGGAGGAGGAGAAGGAGGAGGAGGAGGAGAAGGAGGTGGAGGAGGAGGTGGAGGAGAGGGAGGGGGAGGAGGAGATGGAGGAGGAGGAGGAGGAGGAGGAGGACGACGAGGAGGACGGGTCGCCTAAGCCCTTCGGAGAAACCCTTCAGGGGGGGGGGGGGGGATGGGGGGAACGCGCACCTCTCGTGCCCCTGCTGGGCCCCACGGGGCCCGCTTAGGGCCTCTCCAGGGCACGCGAGGTGCACCTTTCTTCAC